GTTTTGAAAGAGTTAATATTCTCCTATTTCCATGGATGGGGTATATAACCCTCGCTAGCTAACGAAGGTATTCTAGAGTGAATGGTTTGGGGTGAGCACACAGAGTGAGTCTATGTGAGAAAAGTCAGAGAGAAGAAGGTAGAGCTGAGAGATGGAGAAAAAGCAAGTCCAGAAGATACCACTTGAGCTCCTGGACCCAACCATACATGAAAGCCTGTTCGACAGCTGGACTTTCTGTTATGTGAGGCAATAAACACATTCCCTTTAGCCAGTTTAAGTTGGGTTTCTGATTCTTGCAGAATTGTGAATAATACACTTACCTTCATATTGCTTTTTTACTGTGTTTCCAATATCTGCAAATTTCCGGTCTTCAAATATCAAAAATTCATGACGTTTTGCCAGAGTTGTCAACTCCTTCATTACATCCAGAGTAAAATCATTCAGAATATCCACATGAGTCTTGAGCATACAGATGCTGGGTCCTAAAGTATCTGCTAGCTGCAAGAGCTCTCGGGCCTCAGAAACATCAGCGGACACACACAGATTGGTCTCCTTCTTTTGCATAAGCCTAAGAAGGCTTGATGCAACTGTGTGGATCCTGGGCAGCTCTGCACGGGCACCAAAGCTGAGTTCTTTGGGTGCTTTCTTTACAGAAGGGAGAGAACTGTTAGGATTAACAGGCACGAAAACATTCTCCTGAATAAATTTCTTCACTTTACCGACCATCTCAGCATCAATTTTTTTCTGCTGCTCAAGAATCTCCAGCATTTTGGACAATGTGCACACTGAGTGGAGACGAATGCCACACGCCTCCAACATCTCCTTGCCTCCCTGCTCTCTGTCAAGGAGCACTATGGCATCTGTGACCTTCAAGCCCTCCTTCTGAAGAACTTCAACTGTTTCCAAAACACTAGATCCACTAGTAACGACATCTTCAATGATCAAACAGGTTTCTCCTGGATTAACAGCTCCTTCTACAAGACGCTTAGTACCTAAAAAAAAAAAAAAAATCTATTGGCTCCAATTTTAATGTTTAAAATATACAAATATGAATTTATGTTCTACGAAAAAATATATGAGTATATGATTTTCTAATATAAAATATGTATCTATATGCTACTCAAGGTCTAGCTTGCACTATTAATTGGGCATGTACTTATGAAGAGATGGATAATCTAAATCTTGTTTTCTGATCATCTATTTTGGAGTTACTTTATCTTTAATTAGGAGCACTGGTGGTTCTGTGGTAAGGCATTCTGGCTGCTAACCAAAGGTCAGTGGTTGGAACTCACCAGCTGCTCCATGGAAGAAAGATTAGGCAATGAAAAAGGTGCTTTCAAAGAACTTAACCTTTTGCTATCCAGTTGACACTGATTCACTGCAACTGACAGGGTAACGTAGAACTGCCCCATGTTGTTGTT